AATAAATATATATATATATATAGATAGATAGAGAGAGAGAGAGAGAGACAGAGAGACAGAGACAGAGAGACAGAGAGAGAGAGACAGAGAGAATCTGTAGGTAAAACTAGTTTACAACAAAATTTAAGCACAGGAATAGTATGATCAAATTTAGAAACATGTCTTACTCTGGTTGCACTGTGAACTGAAGGGCATAAGAGTAGAGGCAAAGGGACCAGATAGGAAACACATGTGAGCTGCAGGGAAAGTAATGAGTCCACATGAAGGTAGTAAGGCTGGAGAGCAGGCACTAAATACAAAGTTCAGTAGGATATGGTGGTGCAGTCTGTAGTGGGATGCAGCTGGGATGAGTAAGCCCAAAGATTAAGATAAAGGTTAACAGAAAACACAGACCTATCCATAAAATGTGGACAACAGAACAAAGTATAAAACCTTTCCAACAACAGTCCTGAATGAGTTTAGCCTTGAGTCTGGTAAAATGGATAGAAAAGCTAGGTGAGAACATTGCAAGGAGACTACTAATCAATTAACCATTTTTGTTGTTACCAGAGACTGAACTCAACCCCTTATGCTTACCAGGCAGGTGCTTCTGCTGCTGAGCTACATCCCTGGCCCCATTAACCTTAAAAAGCATTAAATATTAGAACAAGACCAGGAAAGTAAGGTAAGCAAGCATATCATTAGATCTTATCCATAAAATTTTCTGGAAAAAAATCTATATTTAAAACAGTCATCTCTTTTATGTCTGTCGATAACTTAAACTGGGCAATGCTGGCTAACAGGACTTGCCTCAAAAGGAAAATCTTAAATGAAAAAATGACTTAGTGACAGGCTAAAAATTAATAAAGTAAAATTAAGCAATATAGCATCTTACTTTAGGCATATGTAACAATTACCCAAAAATAAAAAGGCCTAGATATAAAGGGTCATTTTTTAAAAGTGTTAAGGTTTTTGTTAGTCCTAAATACTGAACCCAGGGCCTCTACACTTAAGCTAAATTCACAACTGTTAGTTTTTTGGGTTTTTTTTTCTTCCTTATTTTTAAATGTTGAGACAGGGTCTAAATTCTCCAGGCTGGGGTCAAATTTGTCATGTTCCTGCCTCAGCCTCTTAGAGTGCTGGAATTATAGGTAGACACCACAGACCTGCAAAAAAGTGCAAGTTTCATATGAGGTTAAACAAATAAACAAACAACAACAACAACAAAACCCCAACAGTATAGGGAGATAATTCAGCAGTCTAAGCACCTGCCTGGCAAGCACAATGACCAGAGCAGGATGCCCAATATTGCATGCTGTGTGGTCCCAGAATGCTTGGCGCACTGTGCCAGCTTTGAAACCAGGCGTGGTGGCACACCTCCATAATACCAGCACTGAAGAGGCTGACGCAGGAGGATCACTATGAGTCTGAACTGCATAGTGAGACCCTGTATCAAATAAATAAATAAATAACACCTAGTGAAATATATACTGTTTGTTTTGTGTGCCTTATTCATTAAGAACAAAATATGACCAAAACAAGGGCAAAAAATGCCATCATATTTGAATTGATTGCAACAGATGTAGACAGCATCAGATTTAAATTTAGAGGCTGTATTTTGAGAAAAACACTGAAAAACCTTCAATTGTCCCAAATAAAACACAAATTGAAGATGAGCAGAGTAAGGACCTAGAAACCATACTATATGTAAAATCGTTGAAAGAACTGAGAATACTTAGAAGATAAGAAAAAAAAAAAACATTGATGGGCATAAAGATAGTATTTATTTATTCTAACACCTATAAAAGAAGAATGATTCTGAATAATTCCCAATAGGTATTGTATAGAACGGGTTTCAGGTACAGGACATTTGCCAATGGAGGTATTCCTTCAAAGCATGCAAATTTAATAAAGATTTTAACTAAATTTCACTAAGCAAATCAATAAAATACTGTGCCAGAAAACAAGTTTCTTACAGGAAAATATTTATCTTTAAACTTATTTTCCATAAATACATAATCAAGGATAAAATATGGCTAAGGGAAAACAAAGTAAATCTAACTTAGTAGAGTTACGGAACTTGCCTTAAAACAACTTAAAATGCAACAAAAGAAGCTCAGGGGTGAAATCTAGACACTATGTAGAAGAGTAATGAATTATTTAATAGGAACTATATTTAATTAAGAATAATGGGTTTAAAGTTACTTTTTGTTTTCATTGTCCCCTTAGGTCTTCATGTTTCTAAATGTAAAATAAGACAAAAGTATTAATTTAACTGACAAAAATAAATGGGTCTTCATAATGTCTATACACTTACCTAAAAATGTAAAGGGTAGGTAATCCTCTGTTTCAGTTTACACCACCAGAAGTCAGGTAAGCTCATATAATGCTCATATGCATTAGTTTTTCCCAGGCATAAAGCATATAATTTAAGTAGGTTAAAAACTACTTCTTGGGAGAGTAATACTTTATCATAGGCAGTAAGAGCACAAATATTATATTATAATAGCACAAATACTCTACTTGCTGATAGTACAATAAAAGCTATTTAACTAAATCCTCACCTGTTTTATTTTCTCCCTACTTCACACACTTTTGCAGGAATGGATAAAAAGAATATTTATACACACTATACAAATAAATTAAGGAACTACTGTTGCAGTATCCATTTTGTCACAGTACATAATCTGGACTAAAGATCAAAATACAAAATCAGCATCAGAACCCTGTACTTTCTACTTATGTGAGTCTCAAACTTGGGAGAAATGCAATAAGCACTTTGATTTTCTAATACAATTGCCTAATTGTTTGTGCTAACAAATAATAATAATCTAAACACAACTCACTTTTGGCTTAAAAGGTACTTCTTTTTCCTCTTACTAGAAAATATACTATTCTAGCTGTATCTGAGCTATTAGAGTCAGATACATAATTAATAACTATTAGTGAGAGATTAGTGCCACAAGAAGAGGTGAAATGGAAGACCTGTGTTTTTACATTTCTAGAAAAAGAATTTCAGATGTACCCTGTGTTTTTTTAATTTTTTGATAAAATTGATGCTTTACAATGGTGTGCTATGTTGCTTTGGTTCACGGGTACTCATGCCTTTGACTGAGTAGATTAAACCTATTTAGGACAGAAGTTTAGTATTTCCTGAGCCAAAAGAAATCTAAAAACATGTTAACAGAGTGCTATAAAACAACTCTGTAGGGTACTAGCCCTGCACAGATTACCCACCATTGCAGATGTGACCAGCCTTTGTCTCTGTAATTCAAAACACAGGTTCTAGTGAGGGATATTCAGTTTATATCCTGACTCTACAAGTTAGTAAGGGTGCTTCTGTTTTGGGGGGGAGTGTGTGTGTGTGTGTGTGTATCTGAACACCGACTCTGTACTGAGTTATACTCCTTTTTGTATGTTTTATTTGTAGACAGAGTCGCACTAAGTCACTAAATTGCCCAGGCTGGGCTCAAGCTTGTGATCCTCCTGCTTCAAACTCCCAGACTCCTTGACAGTAAAATGTTAAGTGTACTCTCAAACCTTTTTTTTTTTTTTTTGGTTTTTTTGGTATTTTAGGGAAGGGTCTACAGGGTGTTCAGGGTCTCACTACTAGATCAGACTCATAGTGATTCTCCTGTTTACAGCCTCCCAAGGGCTGGGACTACAGGTGCACACCACCATACCCAGTCTCAATTGCTGTCTCAGCACACCCTGGGGGCGGGGCCGGCACAGCAGGTCTGTGGATTGAACCCCTGGGCCCTATGCCTGTTTGCAGGCACTTTAATCTGCTGAGCTATTTGGCTGGCCCTTTCAAACCCTGTTTAAACATGTAATTTTTAACACAGTATACTTTGGGGTCCTAATCCAGAAAATGGAGATACTAGTGTTAAAAAATTAAGTGACTCAAGTTTTGTTAATGAATGAATGGGTAATAAATACAAATGACCAATAGTGAACACCACTAATATTACTGTTCTTGATCCAAACTAGATAAAAGCTAAGAACAAGTCTAATCCTTCAGACTAGATTTAGTTTTCAGACCTGATTCCTCTAATACTTAAAGATAATATGGTCAGGCAGGCAGAAAGAATAAACAGCTGAAAGCAGATCGTGCTGTAAATCCCACCTTCACTACCACTTGTCATAAGTCTGTTTATAGCTGTGGCCATGATATCCATTTTTAGGCCAATCCCAAGTTGTATGAGCCATGTGGGTCTCTTCACATTTGGCCAGTTAAAATTCCCTTCCTGGTACAGTTGTTTGTAATACGGCCACTTGTTCCTCTTCTGGCTAACTCAAAAATCTAACACATCCCACAGCTGCTGACCACAGTAAAAAAAAACTAATGTTTAACACTAGAGTCATGTGAGTAAGTTTCTTTCACATTCATTTTCTTTCAACTACCCAATTCTCCCTACCAAACAGCCAAAGCGATGCAATAAGGCCCGCAGTACCTTAATAAGACTATAGTCCCATAGGCTCCCTGTCCCCATCATTTGTACTTGCTAACACCTTTTATTGTTTCCTGTTTTGTTGCATTGCCACCTCTGTCTAATCCAAGTCTCTCTTAACACCAGTGTTGCAGGCAGTGTTTATTTTATTTAGCATAAATCAAATGGATAAAGTCATGAGTTGTCTACCAGCACAAACTAGTTTCTTGTGAGAGGGACACCTCATCACAGATTGAATACTTGAACACTGTATCATCCACCACCACCACTATGGAGATTACTCAAAAAACTTTTAAAAATAGAAATTCCATTTGGTCCAGTTATTTCTTCTGTAAGTATTCCAAAGAGTTAATGATAGCTATTACAGTGGTACATGCATACCCATGTTTATAGCTGCACAACTCATAACAGCTAAATCTTGGAAGAAGATTGTATATGTCCATCAACAGATGAATGGATAAAATAATTGTATTATTTACACACAATGAAGTACTACACTTGTAGAAAAATGGATATACCATGAGATCATAATATTATTATTATTTGGTATAGGGTCTCACTATGCAACTCAGACTTGCAGTGATCCTCCTGTTTTCAGCCTCCCCAGTGCTGGGATTATAGGCGTGCGCCACCATGCTCACTCTCAGTGGCCAGTTCAGCGTGCCCAGGGGGCAGGGCTGGCGCAGCATGTGGTACCAGGGATCGAATGTTCCTGTGCTTACCTAAGCAGGCACTTAATCCCCTGAGCTATCTCGCAGGCCCTGAGATCATAATGTTAAATGAAGTGAATCAGACACAAAAGCTTAAATACTACATGTTTTCTCTTATATGAGAAATCCAAATTACAAATAAAAAGCATAATAAAAAGAAAGATAACAGGAAGTAGGGAGACACCTCTTTCTCAAATGGGAACAGGATCAAGAGATGGAGGTGGGTTAGGGGCTGGGGAGATGGCTCAGTGGAATAAGCGCTTCCCTGGCAAGCGCAAGGGCCTGAGTTCAATCCCCGGTTCCGCCAAAAAAAAAAAAAAAAAAGAGAGAGAGAGATGGAAGAAGGGGAAAGTAAGGGAATGAAAAAGAATTAAGATGTGTTATGTATGTGTACTAACTCCATAAGGAATGTAAATGTACTGCAAATACGTACTCATAAAAAAAATCAAAAAATAAATAAAAAATTTTAGTGTTGGGAAAAACAACTCTGAAAGCTACACTGTAAATATCCACAACAACCTCTCCAGGAGTCTCAGTAGGTAAGTAGTAGTAAACTTATAAGCATTCTCTCCAGAGGGATCTCAAAGCCAAATCAGAAAGAAATATCACTGATCAGACAAGCTTGTACAAATCATTCATTTCTAACTTTGATTATTTCATAAATGAAATGTAAGAATATTTGCTTTCCATTCCAATATAAATGTTCAGTGGTAAAGTCGAGTGTATCACAATTTAACAGTCTTGGGACACGGACTGGGTTTTATTACTATGGAGCACTACCATTTAATCATGTTTTTGCAGGCAAACATCACTGTGAAAAACATGTATCATCCTTAATAAGATATACAAAAATTCCAGGCTTTTAAAAAACACACCTATTACACCAATGATTAACACATATAATAATTAATAACATAAAGCAAAGTTGTAATAGGAATTCATTATATTGAAAATATTCTCCCTTTTTAGGATACATAATGAATGAAAAGAAAATTGTTCTACTAGGTATTTAACAAAATAAGTAGCAAATCATCTTATCATGGACTTGCACAAATCATACAAGAGACTTATTCATTAAAACGATAATACCCAACTTACTTGTATCTGACGGTTTGTACTGTTTCAGCTGAAACATTGTCAACAATGCATTTAGCTGCACATTCTAATCCCTGCCAGACAGTTGAAAATCCTGCAAATATATTTAAAAGTAAATCAAGCTCAAGGCAAAGAGAATTTTCCTAGTTAAATTTATGAGAAAGGAGGATATAACCATGGTGTGGTAGAGCATTTACCCAGCATGCATAAAGCCATGCATATCCCTAGAATTACAAAAATAAATTTAAGAAAAAATAGAATTGTGGACCCTTTTATTACCTTGAACACTACTTGCTGCAACAACCATAGCACCATCCAGGGTAGACTTTCCATCTTTGTCTCTTTTAAGAGATTCTGGAACAAGTTTGCTTCCATGCTTCTTAACATGTGGAGCTAATTCTTTTCCAACACAATTTGCTACAGTGCAGACTCCATCAACTAATGTAATCATAAAAAAAAAAAAAGAGAAAACTTAGAAAAACTGCTCTTTTCTCGATTTTGCCACTATTCTTTAGAAATTGCCTAAGCAAGCAAGAAGTGTTCTTCTGCATAGCATTAATGTTTCTACATAAGGATGAAATGTTAGGCTGGGTAGTTTTAAATAACTACCATTTGGTTTTAAGATGTAGTTGCAAGATAACTGATAACCTCGCCTCTTGGATTTACATAGTCTTCTCTGCACTTCTTTTTAAAATCATCCACTTTGGGGCCGGGGAGATGGCTCAGTAGGATAAGCACTTGACTGGCAAACGCAAAGATCTGAGTTCAATCCCCGGTTCCACACACACACAAAAAAAATAAATAAAATCATCCACTTTTTCAGTCTGACTGCTGGAATACAAAGCTACAGCTGTAGTGTTTCTCACCTTAGTATATTTATATTTTTTTTGTTAGTATCTCAATGAAATAATAGGTATTTATGTAAAAGCATACAACCCAAAACTTTCCCAAAATCTGATTCATGGAATATTAAACACCAAAAAGGATAATTTATCAAATTTAATACTAATCATTAAAGATTACTTTCTTCATTTTAAACCACCAAACTTAAATGCTATGATTCTTAAACAAAATAAGCAGTATACTGCTTGGAAAGACTGGCATTAGTTATGGAGTCTGCTTTGCCTAAACAATACTGTGTATTCCTCCCTGCTGACCTTCAAGTACTGTCGTGAGCTGCAGTACCCTAAAGAATGTGTTATGGCCCTTAGATGGAGCCAAGGCTGGTATTTAAGTACACTCAGAACTGCTTTCAAAGACAAATGTGTTTTCTAACACATACAAATAATCCTTTAATGAGTTTCTCAAAATACAGTGTGTGAAAAGATTCACACAGGGATCTTATAAACAATGCAGACTCTCAGTCAAGGATATCTGATGCCCAAAACTCTACAGTTCCAAGGCCCTCAGCTGGCTGCTAATGTTGGGCCACAGGTCCCAATATGAGTAGCAAGATGAAATTGTTCTGTCCTAATTCTTTTTGAGATTAAGCTATCTAAATGAACAGTTAAATTAACTATAGATTAAGAGATTTTAACTACTTTACCTAGGAACTGGCTGACTTTGGCTGCTCCTCCTGTAGCCTGCTTGGCTATATAAAGTCCCCTGGAGACAGCTGGACTAACTTCCACTGGTTTCTCTTCTGGCTGAATCCGTTCTCGGAGTTTGGAAGCACCTTTCTGGATTGCTTTGCCAGTAAACTCAGCACCTTTGACTAAACCCCAACTCACCCAGGAAGCACCTTTTTAACAGAAAGTTTAAAATTGCATAGTATTAGGGATGACTTTACCTTTAAATTCTTTAATAAAGAAAAATATAAATAAACAATAAAAGGAATTAAATATCCTGATCCTGAACATTCTATGAACTCTTTTTTTTTTCCCCCACAGTACCAGGGATCAAATTTAGGACCTTGTACTTGCCAGGCAAGCACTTATTCCACTGAGCTATCTCCCCAGCCAGTTATGAACTATTAAGTCAACTTTGTATCTGTAGTTTCTTTTTTACCTGGAATTAAGCTTATCTTTCAATATTCAGGTGATACATCTCTCTACAACAGAATTTTGGGTTATTCCATCCGCCACTATAACTTGTATGTATCTCTTCATGTTACCTTAAGTTACTTATTTAAAATACTAGTTTCTAGATTTAACTTTTGGTGTCATTAACCATTTACCAGTCCAATTATTAAAATACAGGATGACCAATAATGGCATTATTTTTCTTTTTTTATGTAATAATACAATAGGAAATATATAATGACAATTTTATCAAATTTATTCAGAAAAAGGATTGACTGGTTGAGGGGTGGGAAGATAGCTCGACGGGCTAAACACCTGCCTGGCAAGTGCAAAGTCCCAAGTTTGATCCCTGGTACCACATGCTGTTCCAGCCCAGAAACTGGGCATGGTGGCACAGGTCTGTAAACCCAGCGGAGGGGAGGCTGAGATAGGAGGATCACTATGAGTCTCAACTCTTTAGTGAGACCCTGTATAAAAATAAATAAATAAATAAATAAATAAATAAAAATTGACTGGTTGAAATTACATCTGCCTGAGCAATGCTTGTGATAGTCAGTATATAGACAGACATACTGCCTGAGTGATGCTCAGGGTACACTGTTAAGTGGTCAAAATAGTGTTTTGCAGGAAGACTAACCACATGTTCTGTTTGTCTTATTCCAGGTACCAGTCCATGAAATTCTGAGGGAAAAGGATACAAATAATGCAAACTGGAGAGCAAAGAATCTACATTTCAAATACCACAGAGAACTAATTCACCTTAAGCTGAAGGCATTAACCCTTCAATTATAAACCCAAACCCTGTAACTCGGCATCAAAATCCCTGTAATATCAATGAAACATTATCAATAACATCAATGAGATATGGCAATGAGGAAAGTAACTACGAAGAGACTATAATAATAATATAATGAAAATCTGTAAAAACCAAAGGAATGGAGTTCACTGACAACTGAGAAAAAAAAAATGGAAAGGATATACATGAAAAGTCACAGGATTGATAAAATCAGCATGGTACTGGCAAAAAGAAATAAACCTGCGAATCAATGGAACAGATTGTAAGATGTGGACACAACTCCAAAAGTCCTCGGCCACCTTATCTTTGACAAAGGGGACAAACAAGATCACTGGAAGACAGTTTAACAAATAGTGCTGGGAAAACTCACTTTCCACATGCTAAAGACTTGGAACTAGACCCATGTCTATCACCATGCACAAAACTAAAGTCAAAATAGATCAAAGATCTAAATATTAAAACAGAAACACAATCTACTAGAAAAGAAAGTAGGTAGAAAACTTGACACAGGGAGTAGGCAGAGAGTTCATGAAAAAACCCAAACTGGGAATTACTTGAAAGAATCAAAAACTGGGATCTCATCTTATTAAAAAGTTATTGCACATTAAAAATAAATCACTAACAGAGTGAAAATAAAACCTGCAAACTGGGAAAAAAATTTAGAGAACTTTCCCTCAGACAAAAGACCTCTATCTAGAACATATAAAGAATTGTTTAAAAATCAGGAACCCAAAATTCAAAGATCCAACCAAAAACAGGCATCTGAGATGAACATACACTTCTTAGATGAACAAATACAAATGGAAAATAAATATATGAAAAAATATGCAACATCCTTGGTCATTCAAGAAATGCAAATTAAAACATCACACTTCAGAAAGAATGGCTATTATAAAAAAAACCAATAAAGAAAGCTGGAGGGATTGTTGGGAAAAAAGAACCCTTCTACACTGTGGATGGGAATGTAGAATGCTACAACCACTGTAGTAATCAGTTGGGCAATTCCTCAAGAAACTAGGATTAGAGGTCTCATTTGACCTCACTGTTCCACTTCTGGTTATTTTCCTAGAATTAAAAACACCACAGAGATATATGTTCACGTATGTTTACATTAGTACAATTTGTCACAGCTAAATCTTGGAAACAACTCAAATTCCCATCAACCAAAGAAAGATAAAAAAGATGTGGTTATTTTTATACAATGGAGTATGATTCATCTATAAAGAAAGACAAACTCAAGGCTTTTATAGGTAAATGGATGCAACTCAAGACCATACTCATAAATGAAATAAATCAGACTCACATATGTAAACATCATATTGTCTCCCTAATGTAAGAGGCTGAAAGAGTAAATATGATCAAAAGGTACAACAAGTACTGTGAAAAGGAAAGAAACTGCTCAAAGAACAACTGGAATGAGAAAAGGAGACAAGAAGGAAAAAAATACATACACATACAAATACACAAGATAGCTAGGATAATGCTATTACTAATTTCTATTCATTGAAAGGAAGCAAGCATTTATATTGTTTGATCAACCTTACATGCTAGATCTGGTACTCTGAGCAATTAATTTGAAGATAACAATATGGAATATAACAACCATTAATTTCCTAGCATTTGCTTTAAAACTTTGTATCATTTTTGTTTAATTCTCTTTAAAATAGAAAAGTTGAAAAAAAAAAAAGAGAAGGGCCGGCCAAATAGCTCAGCAGATTAAAACGCCTGCTTAGGCAGACGCAAAGGTTAGGAGTTCCATCTCCAGGCCTGGTGTGCCGGCCCCGCCGCCGGGTGCACTGAGACAGCGAATGAGACTGGGTGTGGTGGTGCACACCTGTAATCCCAGAACTTGGGAGGCTGTAAACAGGAGGATCACTATGAGGCCTATGTATGCAGTGAGACCCTGGAGACCCTGTGTACCCTGTCCTAAATAAAAAAAAAAAAAAAAAAAAAAAAAGTTGCAGAGTTAAAGAAAAATGTAAGTGATCAACATAGTGTCACATGCAAGGCCACAATGCAGGTAAGAATTTTAAAACTGCAGGCATTGCCCAATACAGTGCATTTCATTGCCAGCTAGGAAGTCTTCTACATTGCATGTATACTAGCAGATATAAAGAGGTTCTATTCAAATTTATATTTTATACTCTTAGTAATGCTGACATATTGCAGAGAATGAGTGCTTAGCAAATGAGACACTACCGGGTAACTTAAAATCATCTAGCTCCTAATATTATCATCTTGGGGTTTAGGATTTCAACATACAAATTTTTGCAGGAGGACCCAAACATTCAGATTACAGTAGTGGTATATGTGCAGGTGATATTTCAGAGAAGTAAGGAAAGTAACTGACTATGTTCAGAGGTATTTTAGTGGGGATTCCTGAAGCTTTTCACTACCAAATTTCCCAACAGTAAAACGGATAATATGCCAGGAACAACTTATACCTGTAATAATATGTGATATCCTAAGAAATGAATTCCTTTTGCTATGAAGTATTTCTAAGTTACTTAATAGTAAAATATGAACAAAATGTTACCTTCCTAAGTATTCTGTTATAAACAGTACCTTTAATAGATCCCAAAACTTTCAAGTTATAAGGGAAAAAAATTAACATTACTGTAATACCTGACAAAATGTTTTGAGCCACTTTCTCACTCCATTCAGGTAATTCTTTTGCTCTTTCTTCTGAAGCTGGCTCACAGGGTACAATGTTACTCAGATTAACTTCTTCATTTGAAGTATCTTTAGTCTAAACAGTAAAAAAAAGTTTCAAAATGTGAACATAAAAGTACTAAGAGGGGAACTGTATTACAAATCTAGACATAATGATGATACTTTTAAACAGGTACTGTACATCTTATACAGTGCAACACCAGAACTGGCGTACAGCTAAAAACCATTTTGGTCCTATATAAATCTTTACCATTATTACCCTTCATTACAGCATTTATCAAATCGTATTTAAATTGACTTTTCTTGACTAGACTGTATGAAGGAACTTCATCCATATCTCAGTAGTATGCACACAGTACAGAGGAAGGTTAAAAGATTCCTGTTGAGCAATTTAATCAGTAACGAGTAATCCATCTAAATAAACTGATTTTGACAGGGATCAAGAAGAAGCTAATATGAAACAAGAATGGATAACATCAAACAACCTGCTATTCCACTGAAATTGAAATGGGGAACATAGAAATATCTGTACCTTGCTCATTTAACATCTGTTATGGGAGGGCTAACATTCAAAATCTTAATGACAAGTTAATTCATTCTAAAACCTAAGGAAAAATCTAAGACCTGGTAATATTATAATTAAAAAATAAAGTCTATATAAAAAGAGATTTTGTGTATATAGATATGTATACATATACATGTATATACACACACATATAAGATAAAAAATTCTATGTGGGGGAAAAATAGCCAACCATAAGTAAAATCTAAAGATAAATTGGCTAAAAGATTTGCAACTTCTATCTTTCACAATGCAGCAATATCCCTGATATATAAGGAATTACTGAGGCCAGTGAGATAGCTCAGCAGACTAAATGCCTGCTTAGGCAAGCACAGGAACCAGGGTTTGATCCCTGGCACTACATGCTATGCTGGCCCTGTCCCTGGGCGTGCTGAGTGGGTCACTGAGTCTGGCTGTAGTAGTGCATGCCTGTAATCCCATCACTGGGGAGGAAGGCTGAAAATAGGAGGATCACTATGAGCCCAAGCTGCACAGTGAGACCCTATCCCAACCACATTAAAAAAAAAAAAAAAAAAAATTTTCTGAAAACTAAGAATAAAAAGATTAATAACTCCCAAAATAACATGCACACAGGCCACAAATAGATAATGCACAGAAAACAAAATTCAAGGAATCTTTAATCACAGATGTTTGGCATAATTCAAAATGGAATCAATGCAAATTAAGATATTTTCATATATTACTTCTCATCTAGCAGACTGCTAAATACAGAAAGACTAACACCCTTATTTCCCAGATATAAGGGGGACACAGCAGTCCCCCTTATATCTGGGAAATAAATCATAAGACAACTAACAGATGCCTGACCCTTAGCTGATAGTGAATCCTACACACTACACATATTTTACTAAATGTATAAATGATAAAGTTCAATTTATAAATTAGGCACAGTAAGAGGTTAACAATAATAGTGAAATAGACTAGTTATAAGTGTATGTTTTGCATTAGCAAAACTAGCACAAATTCCCTTCTCTTCACAGCCTTTTTTATCATAAGTGTTAGCATTCTTCACGTTTGATTACTTTTCTTTCCTTATTAAATTGAGAATTTTGGGGCCAGCCAAATAGTTCAGTGGACTAAAGTGCCTGCTTAGGCAGAGCACAGTGGACAGGATTTGATCCCTACATGCCATGCTGGGCCCAACCCTGGGGTGCACTGAGATGGCAATTGAGACTGGATGTGGCGCCTTCCTGTAATCCCAGTGCTTGGGAGGCTGAAAACAGGAGGATCACTATGAGTCCGATCTAGGTAGTGAGATCCTGTAGACCCTGTACTAAATACATAAAATGAAAAAAATAAAAGTAGTTATAATAAATTGAGAACTTTTACCTTTAAGGGTTCTCTTTGGCAAATTCAAATTTCCGGAATCACCATGCTTAGGCTTTGGGGCCACTGTTAAAATAAGGCTTATCTGAACACAAATGCTCGGACAATCCATCTGATAATCGTGATGGCTTAATAGTGACTAGTTGGCCAGTTATGCATACAATGTAAATACGCTGGCCAAAGGGATCATTTGTGACTTGGAGGGCATGTAGGGGAGGTGGCAGGAGTTTTCATCACACTACTCAGAAAGCTTTAATTAAATATTATTTCAGAAGAAATAATTACAAAATGCTGTCGTCTTCTTCATACACTTGCTTGGTATTACTATCTCTACCTAGACTTCCTTCGATTTGCTACTTCTATTGCCAGCTCTACTTTCCCTTCATCCTGGTCATAATAAACTCTAGGGTGAGGCTCTTCACTTCTTTCCATGCCACCCATCCACCTATCTCTATTAAATTAGGCCTTCTCTTTTATCTGTTGATCACATTAGGAACAAACAATCTTGTTCATCTGCACTGTCCACTAGAGAGCAAATACCTAAACAGAAGAAACAACCTCTTCCCACTACATCAGAACTCTCCAGAACTCTGTCACACTGATACCGCTGAGTAACACTCTAGTATTCAATACAGTGAGGGGTACTTCAGCTTATGAACTGTTTGTTCTACAATTTTGAAAATAAAGTAACAGCATTTTGTTATTATCACATTATAGGTAATTCAGAATTATTTGGTGTATTCTTGATAATTGCTTATTAATTATCTTTGGAATTAATGAGTATCACTTGAGTAGTCTACATTTATTTGCCAAGTGTTAACAGTGGTTTATGTTAAAAATTTTCGACCAGCTTTATGAAGATATTGGGAGTCCAAAAAGATTCTAAGATATATGTTCGATTTTTAAAGATTTTTAGTAATTTAGTCTCAAGAAACCAAATTCAAGTTACAAAAGGGAATACATTGAAAATTTAGCCTCCTTTTCCTGTCTATAAATCACCTAGTTCCCTGCCCTAGACACATCAGTATTAATTCATAGTCTTTCCAGATAAATGCCATATACACTCATTCATAGATAAATAAAAATATTTTAACAAAAATGATGGCAGGCAAAAAGGAATCTGCTCTAACTTTTTTTATTGGGCAGTATAACTGGAAATTTCTCTATGTCATTAGAATTTCACTTTCTTAATTTAGGGAGAGAAATAAAATTATATTAAAAGGTAAAGAAAATGTTTGTATTTGTGTGGGGAACACTGTAGTGTCCTGTCCATCACCCTTCCCAAGAGAAGCAAATTTCTGCCAAATACTTTCTTTAGGTTGCGAATCCTATTGTCTACAAACAGAAGCGTGCATGAACCACAGTACAACTGTAATTATTTACTGAACTCTAATTTAGATTTATCCTTTAGAGTACATTTCATATTCACAACTTAAAAAATGAAAGAGAAAACTGTTAAGTATAGTTTCGGAAAGCAAATCTCATTTCTGCTTTTTACCCATGAAAACATAAGGAAATGAAAAATGCCAACAAAAGCAGTATACACTTAGCCCCAGCAACAGGGTGAATACAGGAAGGTACAGAACACCATGAAATGAAGTATCCATACAAGTGCAAACATGAACAGCTTTCTATTCCCAAACACAAAATACATTTTAAAAGTTTATGAACACATTTCAAAAAGGAAATGTTAAAATGATTCTGTTTTTGCCAATGATTGTTTTGTAACTTTGACCAAGATGATGTACTTTATAGAGAATGGGGATACAATTATAAAATACACAAAACTGGTGAAAAGCATCACTGGGAGAGAAGTTATGCACTTCTTACTGCTCCTTTAGTTACCTTTTTCTTATGTTTTCCTTTATGATGCACAGTCTTGTTGCCTTGGCCCAATGAAGGGTCCAACTGACTCACATCACTACCAGAGGCTCCCTTCACTTGGTCAGAGGGGGGTCTTGTTCTTCCAGGGATTTGAAATTCATTTTCTCCTTCTGCCCTACTCCAGTTGGCCTACAGAGTAAAGGACTAAGCTTAGTTCAAATAGACTTTTCTCAAATTTATTCCATTACACTACACCATGATCTAATGAAACACTGGTTCAAACGTCAGTGTTATCAATTTACTTTTGCTTTTCTTTTCCTAGAATTGTTATCTCATCACCTCAAACCTTTAAGCTCTTTGATTTATAGTACAGCACATGGTCCAAAGTTCCTTTCAAAAGACAAAAATATAAAAGGTAACTTGTAGCAGTTGCTGGTGGTATAAGTTACCTTGAAATCAGCTGTGGCTACATTTGAGTTTAATAATCAATTTTAGGTAACACAGAACCAAGATGAATTTGAAGTCAATTACTAAAGCTCACGTCTATGCTGCATTGTTAGAAGGCTGACCTGGTTTCTGTTTCCTGCATTTAATATCGAAGACATTGAATATCTTCAATTGAATATTAAATACTGAAGAACAAGTAAAATTTACTTTTTGTTTACAGTGAAGTTATAGATCAACAGAAGAAACTAAAAATAACATACAACCAAAAAATAAAATTGAACAAAGGCAAAAAACAGAGGAAACCAAAGTCTGCTTAATTTCCTTCCTAAAGCTCAACATCGTCAGTACAAGGAATTCTGGAGTTGAAGGAAGAAATAACTCCACAGGAGGACCATGTATTCTTAAACATATCATTTCATTCAGTTAATAAACAGCAGATCCATCAGAACACATTCCTGCTTTTATAAACATCTCAAGAATACAGAGGCTCCCCACATATGAATGCCAATCATGTGTACTGCTAAAATAGTTTAAACAACTGCTACTTTAAATTATTATTGGCTTGTTGATCACCAGGTTATTCTCAAAGAACAGGAGTTGACGTTGTGTATGCACACTGTTGTCTTCTTTATTTTCTTGTTCTCATTCTTCCCATTAGGAGGTGTGTTTTTCCTTGTACTTTGTTCTCATTTTTCCTATCCCACCACTTAACACAACCCTAGTTAAATAATGGATTCTATATATCTGCAAAGAAAAAAAACTACACTACCAATCTCATTCAATTTCAGACAAATGTTTTTTATAATAATCTTTCAGCTTATGAAAGATAAGCATACGAACAAGAAAGCAGCCTAAAGAAGGAAGGTCCCAGGATTACATTTTATATTGGTTTTTTTTTAACTTGGCCATAATTTATCATGAGAAGAAACATAAATCTCTCATCTAAAATCTGTCCCTAAAATGTCCAATGTAACCTACTTGCTAAAGCTAAAATTATCTTCATTTCATGATTGAGTTCGCCAGCCCCCTTTCTAACCAAGTAGTAAAATAGTGATGAAAACAACAGCCAGTATTCACAGAACATTATCACTTGCTTGCATTAGTACAGATTCTTTTTTTAATATAATTAAGTTCATTGGTACGTTTTAGATACACGCAGTGATCACATTCATAAGGAATTTGTACTCGTACAAGATATATTCTGAGTCCTCTATTTTTCCCAATCTTCTCTCCTCCCTTCAACCCATCTTTCTCTGTCTATTCATCTTCATCACAGCTCAATGAGATTGCTATTAACATTTTACAATAAAGAAATGAAAGTAAGTGAGGTTTAGTAGAAGTTAAGTGAAATAGCTATTACACAGATGTCTGCATTCAAATTCAAGGCAATTTGATTCTAGAGCCCAAAATCTTATCTACACTTATAGCAAATTCCCAGTGTGGATTATGAGTGCAGAAAAAAATTATATGTTCCTCTACTTCTGACCACATTAGGAGTCATTATAATTTATTTAAAAGTATAGGTAATTATGTCAGAGTAAATTTGCATCCTACAATGACTTCAAAAGTTACCTGGAGCCGAAGGTCAGACATTTGTCTTAATAAATCCTCAAAGAGTTCTCTATCATCTTCTGGTAGCTCAGAGGATAAGACCACACCCACAAAGCATCCTGCTGCTTGTAACATTGTATCGGGAAACATGTAGGCTCCCACAGAACATTTGAGAACTGGAGATCTATCAGGAACCAGAGGGTACAACCAGCCACAAACCTGAAAAAATTAGAGGAAATAGAAAATCACTGGAGGAACAGATTTTTACCAAAGTTTCACTGAAACAATTATCCTGGAAAATAAACATCTCAAAGTTTGAAATGTATTTTCAATATTTTACAGTTCCATCAATATCAATAAGTCATAAGAAACAAGTCATTTGCTAGTCTGATATGCTTCCAAAAAATAGTTTAAAATGCTATTGCCTAATAAGCATTTTCAAAGTATTTTTCCTTTACAGATTCTCTTTCCATTTCAAAGGCTACTCTTATCTTTTATAACAGACAAACTTAGAACAGGCTCCAATATGGTATGTGAAATGATATCAGATAATTTATGAACTTTTAAAATTTGAGTAATTATGTATTTTAATATGTTACAAAATACAACTTTTAGTCATTGTTTAGATGGAATTTACCATGAAATAATATAAGAAAAGTATTAAGAAAAAAATACTGTCAGTAATACTGTTCTAGAGATACAGATTTGACCAAAAAAAGGTAAAGGTTCTAAAATGACTAACACATGGGAAAGGATTTTATTTACTATTCTATGGTTTTCTTGAAATATGGTTGCTATGACTGAACTGGAATATCCCCAAATCTTGTCCAAAAGAACCCCACAACTCTCAGGAGCTGGGAGGTAGCTCAATGGTGAGCACTTGCCAACCAAATACAAGGTCCTAGATCTGATTCCCAGCTACACGCGCGCGCGCACGCACGCGCGCGCACACACACACAGAAATCTTCATAAACCTTTTCTGAGTAGGTTACTACAGATTGTGAGCTCCTTTGACCATAGGCTGGATTCTCCCAGTTTCACTTTAAGAAGCAAATCTCACACCCAAGGTCTCTATGAAGTGACTAGAGATTTAACAGGTCTAAAAACCACATTAAACTAAAACTGAAATTCGAACTCCACCTACTGAAAGTCAAATAATCTTGTTCTCATTTACTAAAGAGACCAACAGAGATTGATGTCTGAGCATAAGAAATCATATTTAACTTGTAAGAGTAGATTGTGTTAAGATACAAATATTCAGTAAAAATACATGGTAACTCCTTAATAGGACATGCTGCCACAACAAATACTATGCCTGAATATATGCAAATTAGTTTATTAAAGAATCAAATTAAATTTTGCATGCCATTTCACTTTTCATTTAGGACCTATAGAGAATGTATGAAAGTTAAAAAATAAATTCAAAGATCTAAGGCAGGATAAATTTTTGTTCAACAAATCAGTTGAGCTCATATAACCAAATACAGTGTTTCTTTCATTCACTTCCCATACCTTCAATTGCTGAGAACTCAAGATTTTAAGTTCCATTGTTTCAACACAGCACCTTTACCTGATCATCATATATTAAGCTTTTATCTGTCCATTCTCTCACCCCAACCCAATCAACAATCCTACACTTTTTAACCTTAACATTGCATCTCTAAAACGACTTAGTAGAATTCACAGTATTCTTCCTACCCAAATAATGGATTTTTTCCTTTACCTAAAACCTCAAAATATCTCCACATATGTCTAGAAAGCCTCCAGCTTCCTCTAAACAATGTTCAAACTGACTCTATCTAAAAGCTATATAAAAAATTGAGATTAGAGTATAACATAAGAGAGAATGAATCTAGATACCTAGTATTATAACTACACAGTATCTAAACTTTGGGCAAAAGTACCTATTTGCTTAGAGATCTCTATTCAATGCAAACTACTTCACTATACACTCAGTAATTAATATATACATATATATATATATGTATATATGTCCTAATAGTACATATAGTACCTATAACATCCATCAAGTTCCATCTCCCTGTATCTATAAGCAACCTTCTAATACCAAGTTGTTACTGAGCTATCAACATCAGAACATCTCATTAAATCTGTACCAAGGAACTGACATCAATATTAGTCAGGATCAGCCTCTGCCAGTGGTTGTGAATCTTTGTCATGAGTGCCTTAGCAGCCTGATTTTGAACTGACCATTTTTCTTTTTTGCTGATGGCAGGCTGATCTGTGTAGATGTAGCAACATACTTGGTTTCTACCAACTATTTTAGTAGCAAGAACATCTTACATGTAACAACCAAAAAATTTCTTCAGACATTTTCAAATGTCCTTAGGGAAAACTGCTCCAGACTGTGAACCAGTGCATTACACACAGTTCTGTGTTCCATCCCAGCTCATAGCCTCAACTGAGAGTTGACAGTATTTGTGGACACTACTTACAGTTATACAGTATATTCACATGAATTACATAAATCTGAAGTTAAAATTAATAGGTTTCTTTTCCATATGAAGAAATAAAAACTCAAGGATATGAGTTCTCTAATTTCCCTCAGGTCCCATTATCACAGTTTTAATACCAAAACAAGCTTGTGTAGCTTAAAAAAACAAAGCTAAATACAAACAGGTCTTCAGGGCTCATAAATTTCATGGACTATATTTTAAAAAGAAGTAAAATCTATCATTATCTTTTTGTACTTACTATCCTGAACACACTACATTCACAAATAAAAAAATATATTCTATATATATTTGAAATCATGTTAATATTTTCCTTTGGCTTACCTGAAGAAACCCAGGAGGGCGGTTTAGAACTGTATCAAGAGAATTATCCAAGAACCTCACAATTCGAAGGTACCCAGGATACGAAGGTGCACTGACCTCCCCGGCAGGATTTACAAAAAAAA